TTTTTTTTTTTTTTTTTTTTTTTTTTTTTTTTTTTTTTTTTGTGCATTTTCTACTTTCTCTAAGGCAAAGTCTGGCTTTAATTGTGGAAAACTGAAGAATTAAGAAAAAAAACTAGAAAAAATTTAATGCACTTTAAAATCTTCTTGTGTGATGCCATAGTGACTGGAGATGGAGTTACCCAGAGAAATTTGCAACAGATGAATTATCTTTTTGTTTAAGATCCTTTCCTTTATTGCTTTGTTTATTACTGTTTTCCAACATAATAGAAGTCACCCTTTGCATCTCCAGATAGCCATAAAATGATTGATAGAAATTGTTAGTACTTCAGCAATTCTCTGTTCTAAAAATAATGTACTCCAGGACTTGCCTTAACACCAGAACATTCCACTCCTCACCTCACATCAAATGTTAAACTGGAATTCTGAAACAAAGACAAATCTTCAATCAATTCTACAAAAAATGCAGTATTCTGAATGTACTTGTTCTATAATAGCATTTTCTTTCTCTTAAAACTCATTTTAAAAATGTGGTAATTTTTTAGTTCAAGTGCATCTACAGTTAAAAAATAAATAAATAAAATGAAGGCAGAGCTCCTAACGAGCTCTGCTATGTCTAACAAGTAATCCTGTTTCATTAGCAAAAGCTTCAGAGATACATCAGTAAGAAGTTTTACACAAGGTATTTGGTGTTTAATTTCTGTCCTAGAGGCTGAAGGTTATATAGCTGGACATAAAAACTCAAGCTATCCTGAAGGCCTTTCTAGCTACTTAAATTCACCTGAAATAGGAATAGCAAAGAAATCATTATTTTTAAGAAAAGAGTTTAATGTTTAGTTATTGTGCATATGTGGGAGGTGCCCAGCATTCTTATTTTCTTTTTCTGGCATTCTATGTTTAGAATTTCATGCAAATAATTTCTGGCATCTTGTGAAACATTCAGGGTAATGGGAAAGTGTCACAATAATGGAAATTTTGCAAACCTTTCCTAATGCTTTTGTGCTATATTTAATCTTAGTAATTCAAAAGATCATTTAGTCATCATCTCAACATTCTCAATATAACTGCTTCAGGTAAAGTCTGGTTACATGTTTCTCTTCACTTATTTCACTTATTTTTTACATGTTGTATATGTTCATGTAGGACTTTCATTTCCATCTCTGACCTCCCCTCAATAATTCTTCAATGTGATTAATAGTATGACTTCTTATTATGAGGTTCAATCTAAAGCAATAATCACACAAACTCTCATAAAGCCAGCAAAAAAGAGCCAGAAAAACCCTTGCTATATTTTAAGTCTATGCTTTAAATAATAAAATAAGTTGATGACTGTGTGTATCATTGTTCTACAAAAGAGGGAACATTCAATTCATTCTTAGTGAATATTCTTTGCATATATATTATTTCTTGTGCAAAATTTACTCGGAAAAAATAGTTTGTGCCAGCCATGATTTCACCTTTAATTAAACAGAAATTACAGTTTATTAGATAATTATTCTTCTAAGAATAAACACCATTTTTCCCTATTTTTTCACTTCTATAGGACTGAGCCAAAACAGCTTTGTAATCCCAAATTAACCACCTTTAGTGAATATTTTAGTGCATAATTTAGTGAGTACAGATTACACATTTATTATGTGTGTATACATATACATACATATATATATGTATCAGTAGTATTTGTTTTAAAAAAACTTACCAACATACCTGAACAATAACAGCTTCTTACTATGTTGTTAAAGTGCACATCTATAGTCTTAAAAAAATAAAAGAACTGATGATTTTATACCGTCTATATTGAAATTTGTATTTTAGTTCTAGAAATATGATGGTGATGATATACATGCATTTTCTATTGAGATGGGACTGTGCTTGGATTTATTATAGGCCTTAATAACATATTCATAAGTGAATGCTACAAATTAGGTTAAAACTAGTGAATTTATAATGAAGGTTTTCAGCATTTAATCCTTTTCATGAAAATGACCTGATTGTCCTTGAGATGGGTTAAACTGACTAAATTTAAGTAAAGATATGTATCTACCTATGTTTATAAACCATGATTTAGGATTTAGACAAAATAATTTACTGGTTCTAGGTGTGTTACCAGAGGACTTCATTCATTCAACAAACATTCTTGTTGGTCTAATAGGTGCCATGTATTGTACTAGGGACTAGATATGATATCTCAAGCAATAAAATAAAATTTTTACGCTCATATATTTCATTGTCTAATAGAGAGACTGTTTGATTAGTACATCATGAAAACATGGGAAGAAGCTGTAATGAAAACATATAAGCCATTTAATGGGAATCCCAAACTATATGGAACCAAATTTGTCTTGCTGTAGGTCAGCATGGATTTCCTGAGGAAGGAACATTTATTTGACTAGAGTTTTGAAATTATAGTATGAGTTAATCAAGCAGACCAAAGAAAATTGGCAAGGGTAATACTGTGATCTATTGTAAGAAATATACATTTGGTGTTTTTCCCATTTCTGGTACAAACATTTGTCCCATTTCTGGTACAGAACTCAAAACTTTTAGAATTTCCCAAATGATGAGAGTGATAAAAGTATTTTTTTATGTTAATGAGATGACATTTGTATCATCCACCCCACCCCCACGCCCCACTGGGGGCTGATTGCCAAGATAATTGACCATGTGATTAGAAGGTTGGAACTTTGGAACTTTCAGTCCCATCTTCTGGCCTCCGGGAAGGAAGAGGGACTGGTGGTTGAATCATTTGCCAAAGGCCAGTGATTTAATAAATCATGCATATGTAATGAAGCCTCCCTAAAAACCAAAATAGACAGGGTTTAGAGAGCTGCCAAGTTGGGACTATTTGGAGATGTGTGGAAAATGGCATACCTGGAGAAGGCATGGAAGCTCCTTACCCTTCCCACGTAATTTGCTCTATACATCCCTTTCATCTGGCTGTCCTGAATTATGAAAGTTAAATCTAGCAAGTAAAATGTTCTCTGAGTTCCGTGAGCGACTCTAGCAAATTAATCAAACCCAACGAGGAGGTCATGGGAGCTGATCTATAGCCAGTGGAGTTAGAAGTACAAGTAATAACCTGGACTTGCAACTGTTTCTGATGTGGGGTGGAGGATAGTCTTACAGGAATGACTCCTTAACATGTGGGATCTGATGCTATTCCTGGGTAGGTAGTATCAGAAATGAATTGTAGAACACTCATTGGGTGTCCAGAGAATTGCTTGTTGTATGGGGAAGCTTCCACTATAACTTAAATTCTGTTACACACCAATGAACATTAGTTGAATTAGAGCTCCATAATTTTATTTTTCTATATATTTAGGATAATTGACATTTTTTAAGTGTTTTATAATCTGTACAGTGTTGCTTTTTAAAAAAAAAAAAGATTTTATTTATTTATTTGACAGACAGAGATCACAAGTAGGCAGAGAGGCAGACAGAGAGAGAGGTGGAAGCAGGCTCCCTACAGAGCAGAGAGCCCGATATGGGGCTCGATCCCAGGACACTGGGACCATGACCTGAGCCGAAGGCAGAGGCTTTAACCCACTGAGCCACCCAGGTGCCCCATACAGTGTTGCTTTTAATCAGAATTAAGTGTTCTGTCATTATATGTTTTATTTTTATTTTAATCCAAAAATTTTCAATTTGCACCCATATGCTGCTTGAATCTAAAATCAAGTCAGTTGGAACTAAAATCTAAAATAATATATAATCTATAAAACTGCAGATAAAACATAAAATTTTATACTTCACAAATTTTTCTGTTAAAGAGAGAAAAGCAAAATCATCTTTTTTTTTCTTTGTCAGTGTGTCCTTTATTCCCAATTAGTACCACATCTGAAGTCAAAAGTTAACATGAATTATAATATGCTATACTAATTCGATCTGTTTTCTTACAGAGAGCCATATCCTTGAAGATGTCAACAAGTGTATCATAGCATTGAGAGACCAGGATGTTGATAATTTAGACCGTGCTGCAGGTGCTATCAGAGGACGGGCAGCAAGAGTTGCTCACATTGTCACAGGTGAAATGGACAGTTATGAGCCAGGAGCTTACACTGAAGGTGTGATGAGAAATGTTAACTTCCTGACAACTACTGGTAAGTCTCAGTCCCCAATAACGGCTCCACTGTTCCTAATACTTTCTTCCATGTAGCTACCAGTCATACACATGCCAAGCAGATCTCTGCCTGTGTTGCTTGTTTTGAAATGGATTGCTCTCCCATTTGATAGGTCCTTGCATCTTTTGGTTATATGATTTGAAATTTATGTCTAGAAGTAAATATTTTCATTGGGAAAAATAAGTCTTTTATAAATACATGTGTTATATGAATTACCCACAGGCCTTAGCTACTTGTGAATATTTATTAATGCCAGAACTGTTAAGTTAGATAATTAGGCCAGATGTGATAAGTATGTAGTCCTTTCCAAATCCCCTTTAAGCTGTATCTTTGGTACCCCCGGGCTTTATTTACATTTCTTAAACAGCAAACTTATCCTACATTTCCAGAGAAATGCTCTGTGCCTTCCTTCACGGTCTGTTTGTAAAACAGCATTTTGTTCTTTTACATAATCTTCTTTGATTACTTAAGAAATATAGAATCAGGATTTTGTTTTGGTTGCAGCACCCAGGTTAATATTTTCTATATCAGCCAGTAAATGCTTATTTTGAATCACTCTTTAAAATGCATTCTTATCTTTAATGCTATTGATATTTCTTCATGAAACTTACAGAAGCATATGCATTCAATGGATTTAGAAAAAAGTGGATATAATTTGAAAGAGGGCAATCAATTATTTTTAGAAGTCATCATGGCAAAACCTTTTCCTATGAAAACACGTTGTGCTCTGTGAAATCCCCAAGATGAAGTTTTTTTAGTAATTACCTTTTAAAACTAGGGGGATGGTGTACCCATGATTACTAAAATATTAGAAATTCCATACTTAAGTCATTGATTCTATCTAGAGAATTGTTCCTTAGGTTATGGATATGGCATATAAAATTTGGACAATATGTACATTGTTTCATGAAAATAGTAGCAGGAATGAGGACGGGTGATTTTGAGGGGACAGGAAAGGGCCTCTTCTTAAAACTAAATGAGTAAGAGAAACATATCAACAGTCAAATAAACCCTCACTAGGGACTAGTCTTGAAGAGGTATACCTCAAGGTAAGCTGAGCAAGATCGTTCTCTGAGTTTGATGTTCCCATTAATATTCACATTAATATTGGTGTTTTCCTAACATCTTGATACAGAAAATCATTGATGAGTGTTGGCATGTAGTTTTCTCATGATCTCTTTAAAAATATTTCTAAAAGAGTGAAACATTGAAGATATGCTAAGGAAAGATGGAGGAGGTGCATCTACAAGTCTTGATGTTATATTTCTGTAACAACTCCAAAGCTACTGATGTCACAAACAGGGCACACGGTAGATCCCATGTGGCATGTACCACATCCCACATAACGAGGTATAGCAATATATTTACTTGCTTAATGGAGACAGTTGTGTTATGGGAGTTCTACATCTCCTTCACAAACCAAATTTGACTGGTATTTCCTTATTGTTCAAATCAAGTACAGAGTTATCTGATTTTTTTTTTCTACTTTCTGAGAATGGAATTGTAAGTAAAATAAGAATGCATCAGGGGTTCTCTTTTTAGCCAAATGAAAATTTCCTGCAGGGAACTGAATCGGTCTAGTCTACCAGGATTTTACATATATCTTGCCACTGTCTCAGTTCTGTAATCATATTAGTAATATCTTGTGAACACACTTTTATGGTCACAATGTCTATGAGGTACCAGGTTTATAGGTTTAGATTCCATAGGATAGAGTTTATATCTGCCACAAGCAAAGAAGTAGAAATGAAATTCTAAATTGTCCAGGACGTAAAGTGTGTTGTGGAATCCTGTTCACAATCAATTCTTGTAATTTGAAATAAGAAAATAAAAATAAGTCAAAGTTATTTACACATTTAATTACAAGTTTGTCAATAGCTTTATGATATATAATGACCTTACACAATAACTAACCAATATGGCTACAAAATTCACTCATTCAGAAGATAAAGAGAAGTCCTTTTTCCTCTAATTAGTTGTAAGTAACTGTAATTAAAATTCTCCAGGTAAATTATGTCCTGTGCCCCAATATAATAAATATAGAATGATTCTGGGTTATTCTGTCTCATTATTAATGTAATTATAATTTATGACTTTCCAATTTTGTCATTTTAGTTTTTCAGATAATTTTTTGTTTATCTATGGGAAGGGATTCTCATCTTTCTTTTATATGTCTAATTCCAAACTGTTCTCCAGTTTTTCTTGAAATTTATCAAAGGCATACCCCACTAAAGGGAATTCTGAGCAATAAATTAGATGAAAATGCTAATTAGATCAGTTTGATCTTAACCAACGTTGAAATATGTGAACATTTTCCCTCCCACAGAGATATTGTCTGTGAAAAATACTTCCAACTATTCTGGCCTCCATAATTAAATAACAGAAGATGTTCATCTTTGTTCACATCTGCTCATAACTTGGATTTATTATTTATAAATAATCATCAAATTAAATAATTGGAAATGTCATGTTTTGTGTCATGAAGCCTTAATAGTTCACATTTTAGCAATTGAATGGTCTAATGTGGCCTGTTTTTCTTTTCTCTTATACAGTTCTTAGGTCTTGACCCTGCTTCCTGAAAATAACTTAATAAGGAGCTATTGTGAATTGTTTTTATTACTGAGACTTCCTTATCACTGCAAAATTTGCCTTAAAGTACTGTAATCAATGATGAAGCCTAAGCAATGCTTATCTAAGTCACAGAGTGTTTTTGGAACATTGCACCTTTGATTTTAATCAGACTTTGTGGCTCATTAGCACATTTTCAAGATTTGATGATCTTCTAAGTGTTTTCTCAGCATTAGGAAGCAGAGCTGCCCTGCTACATTTTAGGGATTTGCATTGTTCATAAACCTTAGCAGTTGGTTTTAAGTGAAATGTAGGCAACATCTGGAATGCTACATTTCACTCAACAGAAGCATGATTTTGTAATCTCCATGTGATATTCTGCCCAATTTTTCCCTGTTATGAAGCTTCTTCATCTGTCAGGAATTCCCAATAGGGGAGAGGAAATATATTAGCTTTTTTCTCTTAAATAACAAACTTTCTCAACTTTAATGTGAAGGCTTAGAAGTTATATTCTTAACACCAACTTGAGTTTTTTCATAGTAGGCTGGGGAGAAACCTAAACAAAGAGGGGACTGATAATAGTGTTTTTTTGGTTTTTTTTTTTTTTTTGGTATGTGATTTATGGACTCATCAAATTCAGAAATTAGCAGGCCCAAAAGCATCTGTTGCAAACCACCAAACTCCTCCTGGTTTCAATGTCAGCCAGTCTCATGGACCAAAAGAGAGCAGGCACATACATGAACCTGACCAAGAGGTGGCATTCACTACTGGCAACTTGTAGTAAAGACAAATAAAAGGCAACTCATCAAGTACTTCATCAGGCCCAAACTGGAAAACATGGACCCAGAATCCTCCCCCTAAGAGAATGGAGAAGGGCCATATGGTTGCAATTTTTCTTCTTGAGGACACATGAGATAGTTGAAAATAATTTTGAACCAACAAATATTTCCAAAATTTTTCTGTAAATTTTTTCTTGTGACCAATTTAAACAATAGACTTTTAAAATGGATTTTATCTAAAAATAATTTTAAAAAATTTGATAGCAGCAACTCCTATCAAGTCCCTTTCATTTAATATTTTTTATATATAAATATCCTACATTTTGTAGCCAGATTAAAACATGTTTACTTACATTTCTTATGTTGCATCTCTGGTCTATAACCTTAAATAATCCTAAGACAAAATACAAGGTTTTAGTTTTGGCACTTTTTGCACTCCACAATCCAGAAGAGGTTGAAAATTAGTGGTCCATATACTAGATATTACTCAATATGATACAAAAGAATTTTTACATGTCCAGCAGAGTTTTGACCAACATAATTTTATTTTGTTTTAAGAATTAGTTCCTTATTTTATACATATCACACACACACACACACACACACATTTAACCCAGATTAATGGCTTATCCTCATAAATGGGAGAATCTGGCAATACTAGGGCAGAGTTTGCCTGGAGCTTAGTGATATCTTCCTTTGCTTTAAGCCTGGGTCATAGTATCTTACACTGCCTTTCATTATATACCTAGACTGCTTCACTCACTTAATTTATCTGTCTGAGCTTTGTAGGCATTTGAGTTCACCTAGATATGCATTTCTGTGTATGTATATGTTTGTGTTTTTTCCTATTGTGGGCCAAAGGCACTTTCTACTCATCGACGTTGGTAGTTTCACATTTTATTTTCACATTTTATCCATCTTTCAAGAAATAGCTCATATCCCATGTGTGCTAGGAATCTTTCTTTACTCCCTCTGACAATAGTGAATTCTTTCTGACTTCATGTACTGTAGATTTTAAAGGACTTGCCACTCAATTGAATCCTTCCAGACAACTATATGCTGTTGATGAACTCAGATTTACTTACATGGAAATGATATTCCTTCAAGTAGAATGTAAGTTATAGAAGAAAAGGAAACTTGCATGTCTTGCATTTATTTATTTTTCTTTGCATCTCTTCTAGACCTACTGTTACCTCTTGAGTGCGCTGGCTTAAAATAAAACAAAACAGCAAAACAACTCTTGAATTGTGTCTATATGCCTGTACTAATTCTATTCCAGCAGTGAAGAGTCTTTTGTTCTCTACTGTCCCTCTAAAATTATACTTATTGTCCAACATTTTCTCAAATGCCACCACCTTTGCATGGGAGCCGCTGATTCCCCTTCAGGCAGAAGTAATTTCTCCATTATCTGTGTTACCCTGGATGAGCTTGTCTTTCAGTTAATGCTTATTTCACTTTTCCTTGTGTCATAATCAGTCATTTACATAACAAGTTTTCCAGACTAGATTGTAACATCTTTTTTTTTTTTTTTTTTTTTTGACAGACAGAAATCACAAGTAGGCAGAGAGAGATTGTAGGAAGCAGGCTCCCCGCTGAGCAGAGAGCCCGATGCGGGGCTCGATCCCAGGACCC